ACCAAAAAACTGGTAATCATTAGAAACTTTGAAAGGAGTGTGGTATGCAGGAACATTTTCTATCTTCTTATTTTAATGTAGAAACTTTAAACTTTTTCCTTTTATTCTAAACCTATGTAGTTTTCTCATACATTCCAGAAAAACCATTAATCTGACTTCATTCTACCTGCTTTTGTTCCTTTGTTATTCTTTAGAGGTAATACCTGCTCTGCCTGTGGAAAGTATTTATGTGCAAGAATGTAGATGACAGCAGTGTCCTTCACTGGTAAAGCAGATGTTATCTATATGTTACAGCCTCCCTTATGTTGAATGAGAATGACCAGTTACACGGTAGCACTATTCACTATGGGTAAATCCATGTTTACCATTAAGTAAAAAACATTAGATTTAAATAGTACTTGATGGGATCTCAAATGACTTGATTGACAGGGGAAAACATCTTGAGGGAAAAAGCCACTTGCTCAATTCATGAGTCTAGTTGAAAGCTACTGTCTAGTATCCTAACTCAAGTACACACACTGCGTTTTTGTCTTTGATGTGAACAAAGATTGTTTTCATTTTGTGTCAAACTTTACCTCCAGTCTATTTGTTTCTTAGCTAAAACTCAATCAATTTAGTTAAATTAAATATGACTTCATAATTTATCCTGCCATTCCTCCAGTTATAGAGTAGGCCTACGTATAGTGAATGACAAAATCAGTTTAACTCGAGAATACCACATGGGAATACCCTTTCTTCATGATGGTAAGATATTTGAAAGTCACGGAACAAAGCGGGTGATGGATATATATGAGCCCATGACAGTGAAATACTAAATAAAAGTTAAGTGGAAATTCAGAAGTAAGAAATACATAACAGCCTGGAGGGGACTTAAATTGCACATATTTTCTGAGAATTTTACAATACAAACCTACTATAATTTAGATACAGTGTATAATATCAATATCAGCACAGCATATCCTTTAGAGCACAATGAAGATAATGACACATTACAATAAGACTGGAATTGTTTTAAGCAAGTCACCCTTAAACAATTTAGGCACCAACCACTTCAAGACTGGAGAACTATCATAGATATTTTCCAGGTTTTTCCTTTTCACAGTGGACCAAATTATATGAAACTTGGTAACACTTTCTAAATAGTTTGTTTGTTTGTTTTTGAATTTTGCGCAAAGCTACACGAGGGCTGTCTGCACTAGCCGTCCCTAATTTAGCAGTGTAAGACTAAAAGGAAGGTGGCTAGTCATCACCACCCACTGCCAACTCTTGGGCTACTATTTTACCAACGAATAGTGGGATTGACCATCACTTTATAATGCCTCACGGCTGAAAGGGCAAGCATATTTGGTGTGACGGGGATTCGAATCCGCGACCCACGTATTGCGAGACAAGCACCCTAACCACCTGGCCATGCCGGGGCCCCACTAAATAGTATCAACTTTTAATTTATAAAAAACTGGTATGTTTGATTTATTTTTCTATCATTTTTAGGATGTGAAATTTCCAAAAATTTTGTTGCAAGAAACTTCAGAAAAAAAAAACATTAAAAAATACTTCTTTTTCATATTAGAATTTTAATTTTTTTGACAATGATGATCAAAAAATTCTATTTTATATATGCAGTCAGTTTCAACTTTATTGATATTTGTTAATCCACTTCTTTTGAGAGTTTACATTTTTCTTATTGCAGTTTTCACCCCTTTTGGCTATGAATCATAAAAAACAAGAAAAATGGCATTAACATCACTTTATCAAACTATGTATTGTGGTTTTTGGTGACAACATTCTTGGTCAAGATCAATTATATAATAAATATAGTTTGTTTTCCATAAATAATAAGTTTGTTTTTTTTGTGCATTATTTGAATCATCAGAATATTTTGCAGTCACTTACTCTAAGATTATCTGATGTTTTTTGACGAAAGAAAATTCCTGTAGCTTTTTAAAACGAAAAAATCAAAAGAAACCAGGCAAAAAATTCACAGATCTTTGGTTTGTTTCTAAGTGTGGTAAATTTTGTATTAGAGAGTCTTCAGTTCACCTCTTCAGGAGATTCTAATGGTCAATATCTCGAAGAACTTCAAATTACTGCTCAAAACACACAACTTATTCCAAATTGACAAAGATTAAAAACCCTTCTATCAATTCACTTATGGCTGTTGGCTGTAGCTCAAAGATGAATTTGATTGGTCATTTTTCAGAGAACATGCTGTGACATCATAAAATGTGGTAATAAAACCATTGATAGTGAAGGAAAATCACACAAAAACAAGAAATCAATCCTTATACCTTCGAGATTTCATTGTTTCTTAGCAGATGTAAGCTATGATTTTGGAGGGGCAGAAGAAAGTTTTACAAAACCCATAAATGCCTTTTTCCCAAGCAAGACTCCTCAAAGTTATGCAAAAAATGTAAGCTTGAACATTTGTTTTCATAGTTTCTTTGTGAATTACATTAAATAATGTCCCATGATTTGAAAATATCAATTGTAGAATATTTTATCACAAAAATAATTGTTGAAACAATAGTTAGAATTGTTATTTTTAATTAAACTTTGGTACTTGAGATGCAGATGTAAACTAGACACTTGAAAAGTGCTCGCTAGTCATAATAGGGTTAAACGCCATTCAACTTCATACTGGGGATCCCCATTATACGTCATGTAAAGTGGGATGTACATCTGAAACGACATTAAGCAAAGTAACACAAACTTTACACGTATTATAGAAGGGAATGTATTCCTGAAAAATTTCAGTCGACTCTTCAATAACCTTTTTGAAGGGTGTAACATGGCTTTTCTGCAGAAGAAAAAAATCAACTTGCTCAGAAAATAGCACACAAACATAATGTGTTTAAATCCTCTTCCATCTAGGCCAGTGGACAGCGTATCACATTCTGCCCAGTAAACTAGTCCGACAACATTGGCACGCTCTAGTAACGGAACACGGCAACATTGCTTCACACACATGTTGGTAGTACAGTATTGTACAATAATTGTGAACACTACACCTGGTAAAGTAGTCCAACAATGTTTTAACACTCTAGTAATAAAACAAGGCAACATTGTTTCAAAAATATTGGTAAACACTACACCTGGTAAAGTAGTCCAACAATGTTTTAACACTCTAGTAATAAAACAAGGCAACATTGTTTCAAAAATACTGGTAAACAATACACCTGGTAAGTAGTCCAACAATGTTTTAACACTCTAGTAATAAAACAAGGCAACATTGTTTCAAAAATATTGGTAAACACTACACCTGGTAAAGTAGTCCAACAATGTTTTAACACTCTAGTAATAAAACAAGGCGATACTGTTTCAAAAATATTGGTAAACACTACACCTGGTAAAGTAGTCCAACAATGTTTTAACACTCTAGTAATAAAACAAGGCGATACTGTTTCAAAAATATTGGTAAACACTACACCTGGTAAAGTAGACGACAACATTGAAACGCTCTAGTAACGAAACAAGGCAATGTTGTTTGATACATGGGTAATAATTGGTGAATGATCCAATAACGAAATGATGCAGAGCGATGCAATGTACCCAGGGTACTGGATAATGGATATAGTTATCATTAAAAGACTTCAGGGAGGATTTTAACCCTATCAGGCAGACAAATTCTGGTGCTGATCAATGTGCTATTTTACACTTTAAAAATTCCAAAACCCTGTAGAACAGTTGAGACTGAAATGTTTTAATTGTATCTCCCCAACTGATTGTAATGTCTTGGCACACAATAAAACTTAAAAATTAACTTACCTCAACATTTTTTCCTTCAGAATCTATGGAAATGTCTTGGCACACAATAAAACTTAAAAATTAACTTACCTCAACATTTTTTCCTTCAGAATCTATGGAAATGTCTTGGCACACAATAAAACTTAAAAATTAACTTACCTCAACATTTTTTCCTTCAGAATCTATAGAAATGTCTTGGCACACAATAAAACTTAAAAATTAACTTACCTCAACATTTTTTCCTTCAGAATCTATGGAGAGTATCCTGGCGCGATACCAGTGGCCGTGTTCCTCGCTCCTAGCAGAGACTATTTTTCCGGGAGGAGGCAAACTACTAGGATCTTGAACAAATACTTTTCTAGAATAACATTCCCTAAAAAAAATACAATTTGTGAAAAATTATTAATTTCTCTATCTAGGAAAGTGAAAGAGATAAAAAAATAGCATTTTAAAATTAGAAACTGATTCTTTACTGATGAATTTAAGATAATTTTTACGTCTCAATGTAACTCTAAAAAGCCATGATGTGCCCTTTTACCTGCATGTATCAAGACAGTTAAATATTGCATCAGAAAGATCTATACATTTAAACAGGATTTTTATAAATTTTTATGTATCAACAGCATTTCACACTAAACCTAAAGCAAAACTAGCTGTATGCAGAAAGTGAAGGACTAATTCCAAAAATCTTAGTTACTTGCACAAGTTTTTGCAAGACGAAACAAAGTAAAGGCCACCAACACAGTTTTAATCAATCAAAATAGTCTACTGTAATGATTATATTGTGCCTTCGAAATGTAATTTTCAACGGATGATGTGTCAATGTTCAATACAAAACAAGATTTGTTGAAATGAGTGTATGTGCACTGCTACATCCAGTTTTAAAAAGTACAAAAGAACTTAAGTCTTACGTCATAGCCTTTATCAGAGCTTCCAGAGTTTCTTTTTCTTCTACTGTAGTAGGACCTAAATATCAACAAAAACATGCTTTTAAACCAGCTTTGAATAAACTCGTAGCTTGAAGAAAGTGATTTCAAAACAGTAATACGTAACAATGAGTTTCCTCGTAGTTAAACAACACACAAAAAATTTATTAAAAAATGCTGATCGTTTCTGTTAATACAAGTATATAAATCCTGTTTAACAACTGGATGAAATAAATACCAAACACATCACTGGAGACATGTAAACATCTAACTGATAACTTTCACTACATCCAACCAAGGACTAGATGAAACAACTCTTATTGTCAAGAGCATTAAAAAAATTTAAATTCTGAACGTCAAATGTCGCTAATGAAATCTTCAGCTCTAAGAATTTGAAACAAAGATATTGGAATACAGTAACTAAGCCACATATATCCTGTATAAATGTGTGTATATTAAAACTACTCTCACAGCAAAACAGCAGCTCAATTAATCAAATATTAAATACAAACCTTCTTGATTAATCTTGAAAAAAGGAATTGGTCCATACGGGAAGACAGCATAGAAGTGTCCTGGATTGAAGACAGCAGACAAACTCAAGGCCACATAACTCCCAATAGCAGGTAGTTTTAAACGTGGACAATTGCTAACAACCTCCATTACATCTCTGGTTGTACCATCTAAATACAAGAACATGGTATTTAAAAAAATAAACAGTATCATTCAGCGTAATAAAAAAAAAAGTCATTCTCGTTCTCTGGATTTGTGACTGAATAGGTTATTAACAGCAATTATTCAATATATTCTAATCATTACACTTTTTATTCTGTGTACTGATTTATAACCCTTACACAATGTTTTTCTACGCAGTACTGGCTTCATTGATTTACAAGTTACTTGACAGCCAACTTTTGGTAAGAAGTTATTAGTAATTAATAC